CCCAGGCTCTAGGACAACCACCCCCACCCCCCCGCCCCTCGCCCCCAGCTCTCACCCTGAATTTCTGTTCTCTTCTGTTCTGCTTGCATTTCCTCCATGTTCTGCAGCACCTGGGCCACTGGTCGCAGGGCAGAGGGCTCAGTGGTGAGCAAGTCTGTCAGGGCCACCCATTCCCCACACAGGCCCCCTTGGCTCCGAGCCGGGGGCTTAGGGCTGCCTGCTCACTTTGCAGTTCACAGGTGGTCTGCAGCACTGTCTCCACAGGCCCCCAGTTCCCTTCCTCTTTCTCCCAGACACCCTCCTGAAGCCACTCACCCTGGGCTTTCTGGGCCATCTGGTCACCCTTATGTCCTTCCATGTCCTTGGAAACCTGAGAGACTGGGGAGGGGAGGGAACACGTGTCCTCAGGAGCCAGGCAGGCAGGTCCTTGAACCCCCAACCCCTTCCCCCAGCCCCAAGTGCAGGGACCCCCTCCCATAGTCACAGTGGCTGCAGCTTTGGGTTTTTAATGTTGGTGGTAATAGTACTCAGGAAAGTGCCGGCAATAGAAAGAATTTGTGTACCTTTCCTGTCCCCAGAATTAAATGTAAAAGCAGCAGGCATTTAGTGAAAGCTCTCTGGGTGTTAGGGGCCTTCTAAATGCTGCACAAATTTCAGCTTGTTTCCACCTCACAGCACCGAAATGATGCCCATTTTACAGGTGACTAAGCTGAGGCGCAGAGCAGTTATATGACATTTCACCAGGCACTTCTCAGAGCCCTCCCCTGCCCTCCAAGAGTCACTGGGCTCACCCCTACACGGGGAAGGAGGAACACAGGCTGACCCTGGAGTTCCTGGGGGGACACCGGAGCCCAGTTCGCCTCCCACATCCCACAGTGGTCAGTGGCAGAAGCAGGACAAGAACCGGGTTTCCTAGCCCTTCCCACGCTGCCCCCCCCCCCCCCTACCGTTTTGGGCAGCGATGTCCTCCAGCTGTCTCAGGCCCTGCACAGTGTCCCGGTCTGGGCAGGGGAGAGAGGAGGGGAGGAGAGGAAGGGGTTTCAGCTGCCCCACCGGCCCACAGCCCGCCTGCCAGCTGGGGTGGAGGCCTTGGGGATGTCATGTGGGAGGTGCCCAAAGGGCCCGAGATGGGGTTGCTGAGTGGGAGGGGGGCCCCCCCGAGAGAGGGGCTGGAGGGGCAAAGTGGGAGCCGTGCTGGGAGAGCCGGGCTCCCAGGGCGGTGCTGGGCCCCAGGATCTTGAAGTGGGGGTCTGGGAGGGAACGGGGGGCCCATGGGGCAGGGGGTGTTCTCACGCCACAGGAGAAGCAGGGTCAGCAGTCCAGCCCACAGTATGGCCGTCACCAGCCCCAACAGCGCAACCTGCGTCCCTCGCCTGCAGCACCGCCGCCCTCTGCGAAGCTGCAAGACGTCTGCCAGGGGAGGGGGCGAGGAGGGCACAGGGTGAGGCTGGGCTCCCGCCCCGCCCCTCCCTTCCCCGGGGCTCAGGGCCCCAAGGCCAGGGAGCCTGCCAGAGCCCACCCCTTCCCCTCACTCTACATTCGTGTCCACCTGTGCATCTGCCCATCCACCCCCAGCTCTCCTGCCCTTCTGCCCTTGTACAGCGTCAGCCACCCCCACTAATGTCAGGACCCAGGCCTCCCCTGAGCTCCTGCCCCCACAAAACTCTACCTTGATGCTCCACTGCAGGCCCAGCCCCCCGCCCCTCATCCTGGCTGTGAGGGCTCATCATGCTGAGCCTCACGTGCTGAGTCCCCGGCGACCTGCTCCTCCACCCTGTGGGCTCCGGCCCTGCTGGACCGCCTCGCTGTTGGGAGGCTGTTGAGTCAGAGCAGGGAGGTAGCCCGGCTTCCCGTTCTGAGTGGCTCTGTGCCCGCCCCCCCCACAGTGGGCCTTTCCTAGAAATTCACTCTTCTTCCCAGGGAGGGCCCAGGAGCCGGGGGTGGGAGGAGGAGGTCGGGGTTCTGGCTTTTGCCAATGTCAGCTCCAGAGCCCTCTCACCTGAGTATAAGCCTTCCTCCATGGCAGTGCTGACGGGGTGCTCCCCGCAAGACAATCCACGCGACGGGCTCAGTCACAGCTGTGGTTGGGATCTGTGTTCTAACAAGGGTTGAGGGGAGACATCAGCTCTAGGCCCTGGCACAGGACAGCATCTGCGGTGGAGAAGCATCTGCGGTGGAGAAGCTCTGAGCACCTGCGGACGTTGCTTCGTTCACGCCAGGCGTCAGTGTAAGGAGACACGGCTGGTGTGAAGGGTCGCAGGCTTCGGGCCAGAGTCGAGCGCCAGGCCCATCCCATGGGAGGTACACGGCAGAGGCTCAGTGAGCGTGCACCTGTGATCTGGGCGCGTGGCTGAGCCTCAAAACCAATTTCCTTCTTTATAAAATGACTATATTAAGAATCCCTCTGCTGCGGGGAGTGTCGGCTCTCTATGAACGGCCTGGCACATAGTCCTATCCTCAGCGCTTGTCCGTCTTGCTGCCTGTGCAGCCTTGGCCCGGGACGCAACCTTTCGGAGCCTCAGTTTTCCCCTCACTAAAATGGGGCCCAACTCATGAGGCCACGGCGGGATCACGTGGGAGAATACTGTACGCGAGGCTTTCAGCACAGGCTGGGCACAGAGGGTCTTCGGAGGCTGAGCCTTTACCAGGCACCTGCTCTGTGCGGCCCTGCAGGGGATCGAGAGCCCGGTCACCAGGCCGCAGCTACCTCTTCTGCCAACCTTCCCAAACATCTCTAAAGTCGCTTGCTTTTATTTCGTTTTGGTTAATCTTCACTGAGGATCTTTCCACTGATTTTTAGAGAGAGTGGAAGGGCGGGAAAGAGGGGGAGAGAGGAAAACGCCGGTGTGAGAGAGACACATCAATCGGTTGCCTTCAGCAGGTGCCTTGACCTGGGCTGGGGATCCAACCTACAACCCAGGTACAGGTCCTTGACCGGGAGTTGAACCTGCGACCCTTTGGTATGAGGGCCGGATGCTCTAACCACTTAGCACACTGGCCAGGGTGAAGTCACTTGACTTTAAAGCACCTACTATGTGCTGAAGAGCATGGACTTTGGGTCAGACAAGCCTGGGGGTCGCTGGCTGCCCCTCCTGCTGTGTGACTATGGGTAAGTGGCTTCCCCTCTCTGAGCCTTGGGGGATGGAGATGTGGGGCTGCCCAGCTCTGATTACTGGCAGCTCGAACCACGTATTTGTCATCTTGGAGGAGGCCAGAATGTCACCATTCTGTGGCGGGACATGCCTGGGCCCAAGCTGGTCAGACCTGGGGCTGAGTCCTGACTTCTCCCTGGACGAGTGACTCAATTTGCTCTCTGTAAACTGGGGCGAGTGAGTGCTGACTCCACTGATGAAGTACAGGGGGTGTGAGAAACCGGCATGCAGTAGCTGCTCAGTGACCCACCGGTGGGGAGCGGACAGCTGGGAGGGTAAGTCATCTGCCTCTTCCCAGTGCTTGAACCTAGGAACTGTGACCTTGAAGCTTGTTTGCTCAACCACCTGGGCCATGGCCTCCTGGCGGCATCTGCTGGCAAGCGTCAAGGTGCCGGTGCAGAAACCAGGCCATTTTTCCAGCACGAGAACTCTGGCCTCTGCTTACAACCACCCATGGCTCCCCAGGGCCCTCCATCACCGGCCCCCAGTGCACACGCCTCACTCATCTGTTTGGCTGGCTTCCACTTTGCCCAGCCAGGTCCCTGTGCACCGAGAGTCTGTCCAGGACACCCGTCACCACTGCCCTGCCCTTCCCCAGACACCTCCTCTGGGTGATCCCGTGAGACTCAGCCAGAGCTCGTTTCTTCTAGCAAACCAAGGTCCACTTCCCACCACCAGCCCCGACACACACACATGGAGTCACACGTGTGCACACACATTCACACACTCACACGGGCACACCCTCAGGGGCACGCACACACAGGCACACATTTGCACAGTGACAAGCATCACACATTCACACTCACGGATATGCGTCCTGTGTGAGTTGCTGTCCTCCCGGTCCGTTGGGGCCACTTGCAGAGGCCGCAGGCTGTGGTGAGGAGCTGAGCCTGGAGGCACACTTTCTCCTGAGAGCAGAGCCGCCGGCTCTGTGTTCACAAACCTGATCGTGGGCGCGCCCGGATGAGCGTGTCCATGCATGGCCGCACCTGGTGCCCACAGCCTGGCAGAGTCCCTTCTATTATTATCTCCATGTCTCAGGTGAGCAAACTGGTTCAGAGACGTCACCCCACGTTCCCAAACTGCTAGTGGAGGTGAGTGGTAGAGCCAGGGTTTGAACTAGAGAGACTGGGCGGGAAGAGGGGAGAGAATGGGAGAGGGAAGGAGAAAAGAGAAAGAAGGACACGTGAGATAACATGGTAAAATTGTGGTCAGATGTTGGGAATTTTGTTGTACAGTTTAATTTAGCAGCAACATGTACTAAGCACACTTCTTAGCAGCCTAGATGTAGTAATACATTTAATGTTCATAATCACCCCATAAGGTAGATGCTTCGTCACCCAGGCTGCCTTATGGGTGAAGGATATGAAGCACAGAGAGGTTAAGTAACTTACCCAAGGTCACACAGCTCATACGTGGCAGAAGCAGGATTTGAACTCAGACAATGTGAGTCTCAAATCTAAAGCCCTGACCATCATGCCACCTAGCCTTGTATTTACAGGGACTCCTTGGCACTTTACCCATCTCACTCTTTATCCCTATAACAGCGGTCGCCAACCTTTCAGACCTCACAGACCACCATTCTGTGGACCACCGGTTGGCGACCGCTGCCCTATACCATGTCTCCTGACCCTTAGACCCACCCCCACTTTCAATCGGGGACTGCCCAGTGCCAAACACCCTACTCTCAGATGGCCTGCCTTCTCCCCCCTGCTCCACACCCTGGCTCTCGCTCTGGAGGATGTCCCCTTGTGCCCCATGCCCCAACCAGACCTGAGCGTGCAGCCACCCGATGGGGAGGGTCCTGGCTGGAATGTCCCCGGGAGAAGGTGCTCCATGCCAACAGCACGCGCTGCCCTGTCTGTCACTTGTGTCCCCAGCATGGGGTCTGCAGCCTTTGTACGTGGCTAATGACGGAACGACCAGGCTGGGACACTCATTCTGCACCCCCACCTTGATCTGGGCTAATGGTGGGGCTTGAACCCATTGCATGGCTGCCAAGGGACAGAGGGTGACCGCTTTAAGTAGGGAAGTGTCGAGTGGGCATCAGAGAGAGGCCGCTGGGGCCTCATGCTGTCCTTTGTCCACCCAGCCGCCTGGGGCCTTGGCGGGGGTGGGGGGGAGGGAGGGGAACGTTGAGAGGACTGTTTTTGGAGGCCTGGCAGGGATGGGGGCTGTCCCTGGGTCCAGGGGCCAGAGCAGGTAGCCTGGAGCGCGGCTGTGGGATGAAGAGAGCAGGTTGGTCTGAAAGAGACAGGCCTTGGGAACGGGTACTCAGAAGATGCTGTGAAAAAAGACCGGTTTCAGCCCAGTGTCTGGGTGGACAGTGGGGCTGTCCTAGCGATGCGGACACAGAAAAGATGAGGACAAAGTTCTGGGACAAGTTCTGTCAGCCGCAGTGAGGACACAGGCCGGAGGCTAGAGGGATTGGAGTTTGGTGTTTCCAGACCTGCTCTGCCCCCGGGGCTCTGGCGACAGCTACACGCGGACCCACGGTGTTCACCCAGGCTCCATGGCTCGGTCCGTGCAGTCCCTGCCAGCCATCAGTTTAGAGAAGCGACGCTTTGGGGGTGAAATCTCAATGGGGGTCCCCGTCACGCGATCGCCCCCTCCTTCCCCTCTGCAGTATCAGCTCGTGTCTCTCACCCGCTTTAGGGGAAAAACAGGAAACTGTGCGGATGTGGACCAAGATCTGAGGTTATCGGTTCTTCTTTCAGGGTTGGGATCCTCGCGCACGGGGCTGCGCCTCGCTCACCGCCAGTCTGAGGCAGGGGACTGGCAAGGATTATATGTGGTGCCCGAACCAGACGCCACCCCAGCCCCAGCCCTGACCCTGCACAGCCCCAACTCACCCCACATCCGATGCTGGATGCTCGGGTCTCCAGCCCTAACCTGCTCGGTGCTGTGCGGAGCCGCATCTCCAGCACTGAATTCAGAACCTCAGCACTGGGGACAGGGTCGGAACCAACTGCAAACATGATGCAGGAGCCTCACCATCCTGATCCGAACCCCATCTTGGAACAGCCCTGGACACACTCCACCTGCGTAACCTCCCGTGGTGATGCCAGGGGAGAAGGGAAAGGGATGTGTGAGGCAGCAGGCGTGTCAAATCCAGGAGGGCTTCCAGGAAGAGGTGTCCCTAAAGCTGGGTTTCTCTTTCTCAGCACTGTGACATTGTGGCTGGATGACTCCTGGCGGTGGGGCTGTCCTGTGCATTGGACGTTATTTAGCAGCATCCCTGGCCTCTGCTTACTCCCAGTAGCACCTCTCTCTCCTCCCACCTAGCAGTGAAAGCCAAAAATGTCTCCAGATATTGCCAAATGCCCCTTGGGGGGCAGAACCACCCGCCTGGAGAACCACTGCTTGGAAGCATGATTTAAGGGGGAAGAGAAGGTGCTGGCTTTAGGCTTCAACTTTCATTGTTTCTCTGTTTCCATTTATCTCTCTATTTGCTGTCCACAGATCACCTCCTTCCTCTTTCATTCACTCAGTGATTGACCACCTACTGTCTGCCAGGCTCTGGAAACAAGGCAAAGTCCCAGTTCTCATGAGGGACGAAGACAGAATTTTGTTTTTAACTGTAGTAAAATACACATAAAATTGAACGTTTTAATCATTTTCAATAGCATTAAGTACATTGTCGCGCAACCATCCCCACCATCCGTCTCTAGAACTTTCTCATCTTCGCAAACTGACACTCTGTCCCCACTAAACACTCACCTCCCCCCGTCCCCGGCCCCTGGCTCCCACCGTCTACTCTATCTCTATGCATCCGGCTCCTCTAGGGCCCTCCCATGAGTGGACCCGCACAGTATCTGTCCTTTACGTGCCTGGCTACTTTACTGCGCATAATGCCCTCAGGGTTCATCCATGTTGTAGCATAAGAGCAAAAGCTAAAACCCGCAAGCCCACAACTGTAGGTGGCGGGACGCAGGATTGGGGACACCTTGACGGACGCAGAAACCGGGGCCCGGGAGGTGGCCTCTGAGCAGGCCACTCAGGGGAAGCGGAAGCTGTGTCTACATTTTCATCCTTCACGCAGCCCAGGCCTCCCCTGGGCTTTGCAACCTCAACGTCAGGAGTGGGTGCCACTCCCCTTCCAGCCAGGGGAACGCCGCACGCCCTCCCCACCCTCACCGAGGCGCCAGGTCCTGGAGCGGGGCCAGTGGCCTTCTGTCTCCCCGACCGTGACCGAGTGGCTTAAGCAGCCTGTTCTTTTGAGCCTCAGTTTTCCTCACAGAGAAGGGCACTGGGCTCTGGGCCCTGGCGGGCCTCGGCATCTAGCCTCCTGCAGAACCCCAGGGCTGTGGGGAGCTGGGAATTCTAGAGAACTGGGCTGGCCCAGGGGACAGCTGCTGCGACTCAGGGTGAGGGACGCAGCGTGTGGGATATACAGATACACACACACACACACACGTTCACAAAGGGATGCAACACCGTCACTTACAGTCACACACACAGACAGAGATGGACAGGCACTACACAACTAACCCACAGACACATGCACCGCACTCACAACACACGCACCGCACTCACAACACACGCACCACACTCACAACACACGCACACAGACACAATGCAATAAAAGCACAGACATACGCAGACACTACACCGTACACATGCAGGGATTTGGACATGTAGACAAATGCCACACAATCCAACCATATCACACACACACCACAGACACACAGACGCAACTCAGGGATGTCTACACTACACATACACAAAGACACAAACTACAGGACACTACCAAACCACACACACATTACATAAGACACACACATGACATACATAATCCATGCACACAGATACAGACAAATATAAAAGAAACAGACACAGCACAGACAAGCATACACACAACACCATGAGACCACACATACAACCAATGGGCATTTATGCAACACATACACAAAGGTGCAGTTCAAATGACATATCCAAGCCACAGTTGAATGTCCACACACACACAGATACAATACAGTAAAACCATAGACACGCACAATACATACACATAGAAACAGATACCAACAGATGCATAGACACCCACAGAAGTACACACCAAGCACACACATATAAACACACAGGTTAGACATGGCACAAACACAATCTACAGGTACAATATAGACAATGTGCACATAGATAGACACACAACACAATCACATGCACAAACCCATAAACACACGCATGTACATACATGCACACGCAAACAGAGTGCACACACATACAGAGACACACCACACAGAGATGAGCACCTGCACAGACACGCCTCTGCCTTCTGCAGAGCTGAGGGGGCGGCTGGCCGAGCAGCGCCCTTCCCTCCTGCCACCCCTGCCCTCCTCTGCTCTGCAGGCCTCCCCTCCCCTGAGGACCTCTTGCTTGGCCTCTTCACAGCCCTCACCGCCAGCGTCCCAGTCCTTGCTGACTCCCCACTTCTCTGTGTTCAGTCCGGCCCCATCTCCTGAGCTTCATTTGTTAATGCACTGATTCACCCACTCATTCAGTTACTGGGTGAGGCACAGGGCACTGTACCGGGCAGTTGGGCCACCGTAGTGAATAAGCCAGACAGAAATCCCTTTCCGTGGATCTGCCCTTCTGTCCAGATGATAGATAGATAGATAGATAGATAGATAGATAGATAGACAGATGATAGACAGACAGGCCAATAGCAGATGGTGGCAAGTGGCGTGAGAGACACAGAGCAGGTAGGACTGGGGAGACAGGTGCTGTTTAACTAGAGTGATCAGCGACGGTTCTCTGAGTGGGTGATGTTTGAGCTGGGACCCCTACAGGGACCGAGAGAAGCAGCCTTCAGGGATCAGGGGGAGGGTATCCTTGGCAGAGGGGACGGCAAGTGCGAAGGGCAATAGCCTGCAGGCCTGGTGGGGCTGTCACTGGCCCTCCTCCCTGGTCCCTCCTTTGCTTGGCTGGGGATCACGGGGTGGACTGTACATGGTGTGTTGGAGACACATCGAGGAAGCCAAGTG